AAAATAAGGTTATTCGAAAATGATGGTGCGACAAAAATAAAACCATCTGACTGTATAGCGACTGTCGCACTTTCAAAATAAAAATAAGGTTATTCGAAAATGATGGTGCGACAAAAAATAAAACCACCATCTGACTGTATAGCGACTGTCGCACTTTCAAAATAAAAATAAGGTTATTCGAAAATGATGGTGTGATGATAAAACCATCACTTAACTTTATTTGCGATTGTCGCATTTAACTTCCTAAAATAAAATAAAAAGCTTATTCGAAAATGATGGTGCGACAAAAAATAAAACCACCATCTGACTGTATAGCGACTGTCGCACTTTCAAAATAAAAATAAGGTTATTCGAAAATGATGGTGCGACAAGAAATAAAACCACCATCTGACTGTATAGCGACTGTCGCACTTTCAAAATAAAAATAAGGTTATTCGAAAATGATGGTGTGATGATAAAACCATCACTTAACTTTATTTGCGATTGTCGCATTTAACTTCCTAAAATAAAATAAAAAGCTTATTCGAAAATGATGGTGCGACAAAAAATAAAACCACCATCTGACTTTATAGCGACTGTCGCACTTTCAAAATAAAAATAAGGTTATTCGAAAATGATGGTGCGACAAAAAATAAAACCACCATCTGACTGTATAGCGACTGTCGCACTTTCAAAATAAAAATAAGGTTATTCGAAAATGATGGTGCGACAAAAAATAAAACCACCATCTGACTGTATAGCGACTGTCGCACTTTCAAAATAAAAATAAGGTTATTCGAAAATGATGGTGTGATGATAAAACCATCACTTAACTTTATTTGCGATTGTCGCATTTAACTTCCTAAAATAAAATAAAAAGCTTATTCGAAAATGATGGTGCGACAAAAATAAAACCACCATCTGACTGTATAGCGACTGTCGCACTTTCAAAATAAAAATAAGGTTATTCGAAAATGATGGTGTGATCGATTGTCGCATTTAACTTCCTAAAATAAAATAAAAAGCTTATTCGAAAATGATGGTGCGACAAAAATAAAACCACCATCTGACTGTATAGCGACTGTCGCACTTTCAAAATAAAAATAAGGTTATTCGAAAATGATGGTGCGACAAAAAATAAAACCACCATCTGACTGTATAGCGACTGTCGCACTTTCAAAATAAAAATAAGGTTATTCGAAAATATGGTGACGACAAAAATAAAACACATCTGACTGTGTAAAAATAAAATAAGCGACTGTCGCACATTTCCAAAATAAAAATAAGGTTATTCGAAAATGATGGTGCGACAAAAAATAAAACCACCATCTGACTGTATAGCGACTGTCGCACTTTCAAAATAAAAATAAGGTTATTCGAAAATGATGGTGCGACAAAAAATAAAACCACCATCTGACTTTATAGCGACTGTCGCACTTTCAAAATAAAAATAAGGTTATTCGAAAATGATGGTGCGACAAAAAATAAAACCACCATCTGACTGTATAGCGACTGTCGCACTTTCAAAATAAAAATAAGGTTATTCGAAAATGATGGTGTGATGATAAAACCATCACTTAACTTTATTTGCGATTGTCGCATTTAACTTCCTAAAATAAAACAAAAAGCTTATTCGAAAATGATGGTGCGACAAAAAATAAAACCACCATCTGACTTTATAGCGACTGTCGCACTTTCGAAATAAAAATAAGGTCATTCGAAAATGATGGTGTGATGATAAAACCACCACTTAACTTTATTTGCGATTGTCGCATTTAACTTCCTAAAATAAAATAAAAAGCTTATTCGAAAATGATGGTGCGACAAAAAATAAAACCACCATCTGACTGTATAGCGACTGTCGCACTTTCAAAATAAAAATAAGGTTATTCGAAAATGATGGTGCGACAAAAAATAAAACCACCATCTGACTGTATAGCGACTGTCGCACTTTCAAAATAAAAATAAGGTTATTCGAAAATGATGGTGTGATGATAAAACCACCACTTAACTTTATTTGCGATTGTCGCATTTAACTTCCTAAAATAAAATAAAAAGCTTATTCGAAAATGATGGTGCGACAAAAAATAAAACCACCATCTGACTTTATAGCGACTGTCGCACTTTCAAAATAAAAATAAGGTTATTCGAAAATGATGGTGTGATGATAAAACCACCACTTAACTTTATTTGCGATTGTCGCATTTAACTTCCTAAAATAAAACAAAAAGCTTATTCGAAAATGATGGTGCGACAAAAAATAAAACCACCATCTGACTTTATAGCGACTGTCGCACTTTCAAAATAAAAATAAGGTTATTCGAAAATGATGGTGCGACAAAAAATAAAACCACCATCTGACTGTATAGCGACTGTCGCACTTTCAAAATAAAAATAAGGTTATTCGAAAATGATGGTGTGATGATAAAACCATCACTTAACTTTATTTGCGATTGTCGCATTTAACTTCCTAAAATAAAACAAAAAGCTTATTCGAAAATGATGGTGCGACAAAAAATAAAACCACCATCTGACTTTATAGCGACTGTCGCACTTTCGAAATAAAAATAAGGTCATTCGAAAATGATGGTGTGATGATAAAACCACCACTTAACTTTATTTGCGATTGTCGCATTTAACTTCCTAAAATAAAATAAAAAGCTTATTCGAAAATGATGGTGCGACAAAAAATAAAACCACCATCTGACTGTATAGCGACTGTCGCACTTTCAAAATAAAAATAAGGTTATTCGAAAATGATGGTGTGATGATAAAACCACCACTTAACTTTATTTGCGATTGTCGCATTTAACTTCCTAAAATAAAATAAAAAGCTTATTCGAAAATGATGGTGCGACAAAAAATAAAACCACCATCTGACTGTATAGCGACTGTCGCACTTTCAAAATAAAAATAAGGTTATTCGAAAATGATGGTGTGATGATAAAACCACCACTTAACTTTATTTGCGATTGTCGCATTTAACTTCCTAAAATAAAATAAAAAGCTTATTCGAAAATGATGGTGCGACAAAAAATAAAACCACCATCTGACTTTATAGCGACTGTCGCACTTTCAAAATAAAAATAAGGTTATTCGAAAATGATGGTGTGATGATAAAACCACCACTTAACTTTATTTGCGATTGTCGCATTTAACTTCCTAAAATAAAACAAAAAGCTTATTCGAAAATGATGGTGCGACAAAAAATAAAACCACCATCTGACTTTATAGCGACTGTCGCACTTTCAAAATAAAAATAAGGTTATTCGAAAATGATGGTGCGACAAAAAATAAAACCACCATCTGACTGTATAGCGACTGTCGCACTTTCAAAATAAAAATAAGGTTATTCGAAAATGATGGTGCGACAAAAAATAAAACCACCATCTGACTTTATAGCGACTGTCGCACTTTCAAAATAAAAATAAGGTTATTCGAAAATGATGGTGTGATGATAAAACCACCACTTAACTTTATTTGCGATTGTCGCATTTAACTTCCTAAAATAAAACAAAAAGCTTATTCGAAAATGATGGTGCGACAAAAAATAAAACCACCATCTGACTGTATAGCGACTGTCGCACTTTCAAAATAAAAATAAGGTTATTCGAAAATGATGGTGCGACAAAAAATAAAACCACCATCTGACTTTATAGCGACTGTCGCACTTTCAAAATAAAAATAAGGTTATTCGAAAATGATGGTGCGACAAAAAATAAAACCACCATCTGACTTTATAGCGACTGTCGCACTTTCAAAATAAAAATAAGGTTATTCGAAAATGATGGTGTGATGATAAAACCACCACTTAACTTTATTTGCGATTGTCGCATTTAACTTCCTAAAATAAAATAAAAAGCTTATTCGAAAATGATGGTGCGACAAAAAATAAAACCACCATCTGACTGTATAGCGACTGTCGCACTTTCAAAATAAAAATAAGGTTATTCGAAAATGATGGTGCGGTTATTCGAAAAATGATGGTGCGACAAAAATAAAACCACCATCTGACTGTATATGCGGACTGTCGCACTTAACTTTCTAAAATAAAAATAAGGTTATTCGAAAATGATGGTGCGACAAAAATAAAAACCATCTGACTTTATAGCGACTGTCGCACTTTCAAAATAAAAATAAGGTTATTCGAAAATGATGGTGTGATGATAAAACCACCACTTAACTTTATTTGCGATTGTCGCATTTAACTTCCTAAAATAAAATAAAAAGCTTATTCGAAAATGATGGTGCGACAAAAAATAAAACCACCATCTGACTGTATAGCGACTGTCGCACTTTCAAAATAAAAATAAGGTTATTCGAAAATGATGGTGCGACAAAAAATAAAACCACCATCTGACTTTATAGCGACTGTCGCACTTTCAAAATAAAAATAAGGTTATTCGAAAATGATGGTGTGATGATAAAACCACCACTTAACTTTATTTGCGATTGTCGCATTTAACTTCCTAAAATAAAATAAAAAGCTTATTCGAAAATAATGGTGCGACAAAAAATAAAACCACCATCTGACTGTATAGCGACTGTCGCACTTTCAAAATAAAAATAAGGTTATTCGAAAATGATGGTGCGACAAAAAATAAAACCACCATCTGACTGTATAGCGACTGTCGCACTTTCAAAATAAAAATAAGGTTATTCGAAAATGATGGTGCGACAAAAAATAAAACCACCATCTGACTTTATAGCGACTGTCGCACTTTCAAAATAAAAATAAGGTTATTCGAAAATGATGGTGCGACAAAAAATAAAACCACCATCTGACTGTATAGCGACTGTCGCACTTTCAAAATAAAAATAAGGTTATTCGAAAATGATGGTGTGGCAATAAATAAAACCACCATTTGACTTTATTAGTATGCATCACTGATGTCCATTTTTTTTTCTCTCTCATCTTTTTCAGATTTAATTCGTTTATTAATCTATTAACCTTACTTTATTTTTATTAGCAAGTGAACGTCAGACTTTTCGCCGTTTCAATCACTTTCAGAGAAGATAATATGATACAGTTGCTGGTACATTCATTTATGACAAAAATAAACTTTCAGTGAGTTACAAAAAGAAAAACAAAACGACAAATAAATTGAGGTCTTTGAAAATGATTCAACGATATAAGTGCACTGAATTGCTTTTCAGGTTCTCAGTACTCGTGTGCATCCTTTTGCAAGGAATAAACGAGAAGCAGTAGGATTTGAAAGTTCGTCGTCAAATAACATTACCGATTGGTCAAGAACTGTTCATCCAACCGTTCAATCACAGCAAACTGTAGTACTGCACTTAATACCGACAGAACTGCATGTTAAGCAATTACAGCAGCAAAAGCATAAGCAAAATCCGGCTCAGAAATTACTGCTCCAATCATCGACACTTCCGCAGCACAGTTCAAAAGCCTCTGGACAATATACCACAATATTATCTAGTAATTTTAACAGATCGGCAGTGCGTGGTGTGCCGGTTGCCGTGCAGGTTTCCAAAGGATATGATAGGCTTCCGAGTGATTACAGATCAGGTGGGATACACCAAATTGGTGAATGGAGAGGAAAAAGTAGCGACCCGTGTGCTGGATGTCCACCTGATTCTGCTAAAGATTCATTTGGTGCTGTTCGCAATCTTATCAAACAGCAACTCAATCTGGTATTTTATTAAATTATTGATATCCTATACTATTTCAATTTCACTTCACTAACAGATAATTTGAGCGATAGACAGAATGCACAACAAAAACTTATCATTAATTAAAAGTGCAAGTGATAAGCCATAATTTGTGTCATTTATCTGATTAATTAATAACACTTATTATAAATGCTTTGATTCTTCAATCTGCAATAAATTTTCTTGTTTTGTAAGGATGAAATGAGTGATTGGAAGGAAACAGTTTTTATTTGCTTGTCTCTGATTTAGTTTTTGTTATTATCAGCTTTAGATTAAAAACTATTCAAATTTATATTTTAAGATTACCGCAATTTAAAACTTAATATTTTCAATCCTTTTGCAGAGGAAAGTGGCAAATTTAGTATTAACAACCCAGTTACTACGGTCTTATGCAACATATTATGATTATAACTTAGACCTGAATGGGGAATTTAGTCCTAATGGACGTGGTGGCACACCATTTGGTCCATTCCCAATGCAGTGGCCTACGCCAATAGGATCACCAATGATTGAAATTCTCATTAGTGATTTCACAGTCAATTCTCTTCTGTACTGGATGCACAAGTAATATTTGCAACATTCTTTATTTAAGAGAACATCGCACAATATTGAAAAGGAACCACTTTTTCAAAGAAAAGAAAGCATCATGATCTTCCCGACACATTAGAACTACGAGGATTGCAATCGACTTTTTATATTGTTAACTTTTTCTGTTTAATTTTCCTTTATTATAAAGATAGTTTTAGAGCCAACTTTCTGTCATTCCGGATAGGACCAGAAACACCTGGTATTGGAGCACTATTAACAACGACGTGTGATGTCAGCAACGACTATTCAGGAGTTAGTTACCTGTTCATTTTTCAAGAATGAGAGGTTACGGTATCATTTATTTGCCTCGAAATTCGAGTTAAAATTTTAAGTGATCAGATAATTTGTTAGAAGCTAGAAATTCATTTGCTTGGATAATTAGTAGAAAAAAAAAAAAGGATTTTTAAACTTATTATTATTTGTATCAACTGTAACACTTGTATCAGCTTTAATAATATGAAAATATTCTAGGAGGAGTTCGAAAACGAAGCATTATTATTACGGTTGTTACGTTTAAGTCAACTTCGTCGTCGTTATTATCTTTACCATCAGCAACGTAGTAGGCGTCAGGCAGTTACGGGTAGCGATTCCAGTGGTAGTAATCTAGGAAGTCTGGGTGATCTGGCCGATCTTGGCATTTGTCTGGGTGATATCATACCAGCCATCAAGGAGAAATATCCGAACACGACATTAGCCCTTTCCATACATTCAGCACGAGCACCTTCAATCACGATTAGTCGACGTGGTGGAGGTAATGTTGCATGCATATGAATCCTTTCACTGCTTAATTTCCAGAAACTCCAAAATAAATTTTGATTTACTTTCAGGCAGTATACAATTAGATTCGGTAACATTTATTGACATCTACTTGGATAAAACAAATGTACGAGTTGGTACTATAACAGTGATAACAGTTGCCGATATAATGCTTCAAATAATGGGTCAGCGAATCATTGCAAATGCATCGTTACCGGTACTGAAATTGATAGATCGAGATCAAACACTGGGCCTACAGCAGGATGCACTTGATAATTTAGCCAGTTTAGCGAAAGACATGATTTTACGGGTATGTGTCATTTCCATTTCATTCTAGAAAGTTTACAGTAGTACATTTATACCTAGATCGATTGACAACTCGTTATTGTATAACTCATACACTCATCTTTTTTTTCAATTGCTCGTTCTGAAATTCGGTGTCATTTCAGGCAGCCAATCAACAGTTCAATAGAGGTATTGAAGTATCTTTGCCGACATCAGGTTTACCTATAAATGTAGTTAATCCACATATTCAATTACTTGATCACGCCGTTTATATTGGTAGTGATTTTACAGTAGCACCATCAGCAATACAAATGATTTCATAAAATATAAAACGTCTTCATAGATGATGTGGTCGTGTTTTTACGAGTATGTGAAATCCGGTTTTTCTCAGCATAATTCGATTTTTTTAAATCTTTCTAATCACATTTTGAACTATCATTTACTACAAATTTTATTTGCATTTCGGACTTTAATCTGGAGAAATTATCAACAGTTTTTAAACAAGATGATGCATTATTGTCATAGATTTTGTGATTTAAGAATTTCCTTCAAAGCTTCACTTGCACATGGAAGCGGATCATCTTGTTTAACATAATGAGAGACACTTAATTTTTGTTACTCTAGCTTCTGGCTTAACCAATTTTACAAGTGCCTCTATCTTATTAGTCGCTAAACTAGGATTAACCACCTTGCTCATTTTAGAAAGCATTTTAGATATTACTAACTGAAATGAAAATTCAGTCAGTAATATAGAAAAAATTTTCCAGAAATCAATCCTTTCCAAACTGTTTTAAGATGTTTTTAAGTCAAAAATTTATGAAATCATTAACAAATAAAGAACCCCGAAAATAGAACAAACGAACAATTAACGATTTCATCTCTACTGTTTTTACGACACGGTGTATTAGCATATTGGACCGTTGGAGTAATCATTTGTTTACAGATGTTGTTATGATATTATTAATGCTCACTATAACATTATGTATAATTACCATGCATTTTTATTCTATTGCACTAAAATTTTGCATTAATTTAAAACTTATAACAGCAATTCAAACAGAAATCCCAAGCATAACATTTCCTCTGTGATTAGGAAGCTAGCTGAATAAGTGTTACAGTTAGTATAGACTGAAAGCTTCTCGGCAGCATTGTCATGAAGAATCAATTTGTTGAGATCAGCTGGAGAGTCGTGTTTTTTATGGGATTATGAGCTATGCTAGATAATAGAGACTCTCAATTCGGACAAGTCTTGAATGAAAAGTCAGATAAAGTGTGTCCATGGACAAAATGAGCTCGTTAGCTTTCAGATAGCCATCCTAGAAGAATGGTTCCATCCGAAATCTGGAGGCATGGAATTTAAAACGAGCTTATTGTGAACTGCACATGAATTTCTAGAAACACAATGAATTTCCACCGGATCTCTGAGACGTAGTCATTAGGAAGAAAAGAGAAAAACTGATTGCTCAAACTCAAACACTTTACTCTCTACAGCTGGTGAAATTCTTGCGAGAATGCTTTTAAATGGACTAATACCCATTATTGTAGATGAACTTCTACCTAAGAGCCAATATGCGTTTCAAACTAACAGAAGCATTGCAAACATAATATTCATTCTTAGAGAATTGCAGTGACTCTACATGACCCTTGCTGACCTTACTAAAGCAGAAAAGGCTATTCCCTATGTTCCTCAAAATGATTGCCCTGTTACACAAAGAATGGCCTGGTTAAGTCAAGTATGGCAATTCACTCTTGAAATCTTTCTCGACAACTAACGATATGAAACAAGGTTGCGTGCTCGCACCAAATTGGTGATTCTTTGACTGTACGTAGAGAAACTGAAGTGTTCAAACTAACGATTAAGAATGAAGGACTTATCTACGAGGAGAGTGTCATTTGAGCTGAAAAGAGTGCTGTGAACCTGAGCCAATGATCTATCTATACCATACACTGCTTCATTTGTAGAATCCTCTGTAGTCGTCGATATGTACATGCACGATTAGCTTTTGTGCTAAATTGACCTCGCACTTGTTGCTGATATCTCGAAGTCTTCGTTGAACTTTCCTACTTGCAGGACAAAAAGCTGCTTTTCTTACAAGACAATGGATTTGCATGAGTAATTCTCTTCTTCGATAGCGGTTCCTGGATCTGTAATTATTTTTGATAGGTTGTCAGATTGTTGCAGGGTAGAAAACCATGGAATGATCTGCAAGTATAATTTGAAGAATACTGGCTTGGAAGTTGTCTTCTATTGTAAAAATTTCAAGATTATTGGTTTTGAGCATTTCCTTTGGTATGTCGCCTCTTTAGATTTGATCTGAAAGTAGTTGAGTTTTCATCGTACATCGTACAGTAGTCTTCTTTGACATTCTGTACTACAATATGTCTCTAACGCATAAGCTGTAGTCGATGATGTACCAGCATTTCGATTGAGATTGCATTCAGATCGTTTTTAAGCTGTCCTTCTGCTGAAAGATGGTGTTTGTTCGTACTTGTGAGAGTTCTGACGTAAAGGTTTCCAAAAACTGATAATAATATGTGGAAAGTTGTATTAAATTTAAAGGATGTCTTAATTTAATATTCCTTGGACAGATATGAAACTGTTCCATACCCAACACCCACCCATCTTCCATTCATAGCTGAGCTTATCTGCATTGTCTTTAATGTCACAGTTTTTAATAAAGAGTCTGTTTCTTTTATTTTAACCCAAATCTGCATGCACACTGTAGAGGTTTCCTAACCTAACATTCAGTTTTATGTTAAACTTAACTAAGTAAAGAGTAAAGATCATTCGACAGGCAGGTCTTTACTCATTTAATCATACGCTTGTTGTAAACCAATGCATACTATATATGAAGGTTTAAGCTAGTTTTGATGGACAACGAACTTCAATTCGACTAGTCTCACTACTCCTGTTACGACGAAGTAACCTCTGATCTAAAGCGAATCCCAACCAAATTCCTCTACCATAAACTGTGTTGCTTAATATAATTTGATACCAAATAATAGTCCTTTCAACGTCGAGCAATAAGGTTTGTTTTTGTCACCAGTCAACTATAACAACTTCATTATTAATGAAAAACCTGACAAAACTAATAACCGAATTATGCGGGGGAGGTTGGGTTTCTACTTCCAGAATTGAACTTTTTTCAAATTGCGATTAGGAATACAAACCTTGCTCAAATTACTAGTTTTTATATTCACTTTATCCAGGAAAAACTAATATTTTTTTAGAACAAAATTTTAGGAGGATATTCTGGAAGTATCTTAATTGTGTCTACGAATCGTCTTTACTTTGATCTCTTTTATGGTCATGCTTTCGGTATGATTGACTGATCCGTGCAAATATTCTGCATTGCTGGCTTGCCTTTAATTTTTGCTTTTTTAAATTATTATTTGTAGAAAGTAGGCTGAACTCTGCTGTTTCGGAAAAGCAACAATGTGACCGCAAGTTTACTAATCTAAGAAACTATCAATGCAATGGTCCGTCAAAAAATGTAATGGCTATTACTGTCCAATTAGTCAGGAATTATCACAATGCAAATTATGAAAAGTTTTTCGCATCTCATTGCTTTTTGAAATGTTTGTTTCAAAAAAAGAATAGAATACTGAGATGATTGACATGAATGTAAGAGAAACGTAAAAATTCACGTTTTTACTGATTGTCTTTGTTTACTACATATGGTCTAAACATCGCTCGAGAAAAATTTCACAGATTGTTTAAATGTGACTTTTAACTTTGACTCTTTCAATGACTTTTTAAAAATGATTTAATTTTTCTTCATAATTATTTGAAGTTTTGAGAGCAGTACATGAAAGACAATAAGAGGTGCTTAGGTTTGAAACTTGTTTAATCAGTTTTAAGAGTTTAAATTCGAAATGGTTGAAGTTAAATTTCACGTTACTCTATTCAGCTTCTTGCGTCATGATGCTTTTAGTTCCTGATTTCGCTTCTTAAATATTTTACTTCGCATTTCAGCATATTCCCTTTCAACGTTTTGGAGAATATTTATAGAATATCTTCCTCATTCACATATGCAGATATTTATAAAGATTACAAATATAATGTAAAGTATGAATGAATAATGGAATAATCGTTGCTATTGAAACAGAAAGATTTTAAGAGTAAATTTGACAAATAATATGAAGCAATCAATGACTTCAATTTCATTCCAAATTTTTTTCCCTTTCATGAAATCCAATTTTTAGGGTTGAAGCCTTGTTAGATCGTTAATTTGTTTAAACTATTGTACTGGAGAGTTATTTACTTTGACTCATCCAGTTTGTGTCGGAGGAAAAACAGAGAGCGCCTTTTGTGTCCATTACCAAAGCACGGACAACAGTTGCAGCATTCTGACCTGCCAATTTGTGCAGGTGAGAATATGTGCGATGACAATTGTATTGTCGCTCCTTGTCCAATCGCTGGTAAGGGTGCAGATAATGGCGCAGGTATTGGTTGCTGTGGTACCAACACTTGACTTGTTTGCATACAACAGACTGGCGGTGGTTGGATGACCAGTGGTTCTGGCAGGCAGCATATATGCTGGCTTATTTGGCAGCAGACAGGTGGTAGAGTAAGTGTGTTGTTGTAGGTGGCAAGGTTGCTGGAGGTGGTGAAAAACGTTGGATACAGCAGCAAAAACTGGAAATTCCAATTCAGGACATTAGTCCTTATCATTTTGTTCTAATATGAGAAATAGGCTAAACTATTTTCATCAACTCTAAAATCTTCAGATTTGAAAGTAAGTCAACTTATTTAAATTTAGAAATTCATTGAGGACGGTGAAAATATCTCCGTTGCAGATATTCGTTCTCAATGAATATAGATGTCTATTAGCTTCTTAAATCATTAACTTATTAATCATTAATTAATCATTATTAATCATTAACAATCATTAACTTGTAGCTGTAAGGTAGATATCAGAGTCTGAATCAACATTTTGAGAAATTTGAAGGATTTTTGAAACAACAGCCTTTGTTGCTGTTTTTTTTAACAATAAATTTTTCTGTTACTTAGTGAAGAAATAGTAACATACGTTGTGCAACAGCAGTACTGCCCACATCCATCAAATTGCCGTTTGAATCGTATCTTGTTGTCTCTCCAAAATATCTTGCTTACGTTATTATGTGGATCAAGGGAGATTAGTCTGGTATTTCCCAATGGCGCACTCTGAGTTACTGATATAAGCAAAGAAAGGGACGTGAAGAAGGTTATCATGATGAATGTCGAACACGTTAGATTGAAGTTGGATAGTTTCACGTTAAGTTTATCAAAGATTTCTTATGTGCTACTGTAAACTAGCAATCACTGGATCAAACACTAATCGTACGGTCAGTTCTTAGCCCATTTTATATTAAGATGGTTGCAATTGCTGACGCAATGGTCGAGATTTTAAAACCAGATTTAATTTTTTTGGGTAAGAAACTGAAGTAGTTGGAAATGAGAAAATAAACAAAAGTTGAATTTTTTGAAAGAAAAAATTATTTCATCGTTCTTTCTTGTTTTCCCGAACTAGCCTGATATTATTTGAAGAGATACATAGAAATTGTAGTAATAGTGATAGTGGCAGTAGTAATAGCAGTATATAAAAAGTAATGAATCTTGTTCGAGTTATCTAAATTTATAGCATTCTGAAAAAAAAAATCATCGATCGAAAAATGAGTTTGTATTGCTGCATTTTCGATGAGTAGAATTTTTTTACAAGTTGTTGGATTATCTTTGCAGTTTTCTCACACATTCATTGATAATTGGCCGTTGATGGGCAGTCAAAATATTCGCATAACAAAGCCAAATTTTTAAGCCCAAATGACATGAAACAGCTAACAAATGTAAATCTAATGTTATTACTACTCGAGTTTTTCAATGGTCCAACCGCACGGCTTTTTTTTTTGATGGCAAGCTTAAAGTTTTTATTCTGCGATAAATGTAATATCACATTGCAGGAATGTATCGTGTGGATGTATCTGGAAAATGAGTTAATAACAGTAGTAACAGGTGGCAGCTGTTTTGAAAGTTTAGTGCAGTTGTTGAGAGCAATGATTCCCATCAATCGATCTACAATTATCCACACTTCATTATTCTGCAGTATCCCGAAAGTCTACGCTTTAAATTGAGAATTGACTCCAAATTTACTTTAGGACAGGTCAGAGCTTAAGTCTGAAAAGTGTGACTGAATTTGAAAGAATTTTTGGACCACGTAAGACTTATCAGTAATGCCATTATCACGACTATATGATCTTTCATCATGAATGCATCACGACTATTGCAGTTCATTGTTGCAATATTGCATGGTAAGAATTCAAGGTTTAGTTTGAGTACTGTTTTAACTTTCAATGATTGATTATTATTCAATTATAATTCTAATATAATACAATGAATATTATCCAGCAAACTTAAAAAGAAATCACTTTTAGCAAATGTTCAGCCTTACTTCTTCAACCATTTCAGTAAGTGGTTTGTCAAGTAATCGTTACGCAGATCAACTCTATGAGGATTTATTATATTTCTACAACAAAAATGTAAGACCAGTACGAAATGCAAGCAGTGCTGTACAAGTTAAATTTGGTGCATCACTGATTCGAATTATCGATGTGGTTAGTTCTCATAACTTCAAACTGATAATTTTAAAAACAATTCTTAAAATATGATCTGAATACAGTTATACATTTTACAGAAATTTCTCGAGCACTTTGCGAGTCTTTTTTGCGTCCATTTTCGGCAAAAAATTTATAGTTTCAAATAAAACCAAAAAGGCAATATGGCAAGAATCAAATATATACCAGCTTGCTTGACTTTTTCATAAACTCAAAAATCAAAAATCCGGATTTATTTGACAATCTGTTATTAGTCTTTCACTGTTGCCAGAAAATCGTTAACTAGTGGTGCTGCGAATATCTGTGATACACCACAATCTGATGGACAATATGTTGCTGGTTGACCTGAAAATCCATACCAATTTTTAAGTTCTTCCGGAACTAGCATACACGCGGAAGAGGAAAATTTGCAAACCTGGTTCCCCAGGTGGTCCCCATGGTCCTTCTTCGCCTATTTTTCCGTGTCGTCCTGGTGGTCCAACAGGTCCAATATTTCCTGGTTTTCCGGCGAAACCAGATTCCTTAGCTGGCTTGCCTCGCAGTCCAGTAGCTCCCTTTGGACCCGGAGGGCCGAGTGGCCCTTTTGGTCCCTTAATTCCAGTACCAGATATGACTGTATCACCCGGTGGTCCGGAAAGACCAATAGGACCTTGGAGACCTGATGATCCCGGCAGACCAGGCTCCCCTATTGGCCCATGTTCCCCTGACATACCAGGTGGACCTGGTTCCCCAGTTCGACCAGGTTCTCCAAGTTGTCCGCGTTCACCTTGTAGTCCTCTAAAATACAGCGCGATTAGAAAAGGTAAGAAATACCGTAAATTACATCGAAATGTACATAACTCAAGAATCTATCAAATTTTAATAATTTCTGTAATCTGATTACACATTTTATTAAAAGACCAAAAAAAGCTTCCTAATGGTTACAGTTTTTCTTTAAAGTTTTATGTGAAAAAACATAAATTGGACAACTGATTAAAAAATAACGGCACCTTTGTCCAGGAGGTCCAGCAGGACAAATTGCACATGGTAGCTCTTCTTCCGGTGTAAGCTCTACATCATAGCCATCATCACCTGGTAAACCTGGCTTACCTGTCATTCCTGGTATTCCATCTTCACCAGCAGGTCCGCTAAGGCCAGGTGGACCTATGGGGCATCTAAAATTTCGTATGCATTATGTTCCTAAAATAAATTAGCAACTGGCGAACTGGTAGGAATTTTCTTCGGGAAAAAAGAATCACAGTTTACGGAATTTAAGTTCCAAAAATTGTTGCGCCCTATTGAAACCAACGTGAATTATAAGTCTCCAACGTACAACCGAATCAGCAAAGCTTCCAGATGAAGCTGATCATCGTGTCCCTTCTTGTCATTGTTTATTTGGAATATTTTTGGTTTCAGGTAAGCTGATTTTGAAAGAAAACATATAATTAAGTAAGGCTATCTTTAGAAATTATTTTGGTTAAGAAGAATCTAACCCGAGTTGTATGCATCCTGAGCACACCACTTGTTTATTGCTGCTAAAAATGTGTGGATGAGAACGACGTCCTCGAAGAATCACTGTTACTCCAACTTCTTCTCGCACCGATTTCATTTCTGTCCATATTTTATTTGATTTCTCCTGAAAGAGAACGGTATGGAAATATGATCAATTTAGAAAGAATAGTAGAAGAAGAAAAATATTCTTGTAAAAGATGTCAACGCATCAAAATATATTTGCATCTTATTTTCTCATTTTCTTTCAAAAATATTTCTCATGCTCTCTGAATTTTTTACTTTAAAACTAGCTGATTTCGTCATAGCATATGAGCGCTCTCGTTCTGCCTTCAAATAAATTGCTGGAACAGCAAATAGTAGTATAACAATTGTCATCGAACTAAATATCGTCGTACCTACTGCCAGATAGTGAAAATAATCTTCAATAGTCATTTTCCTGAAATTTTTCAATTATCACGTTTTTATTACTGCATAGTGCAATCTTTTCCCACTTCATTAAGTAAGGCTCCATTAGATGTAGAGTATTAAGTTTGACTTTCTACTATCATTGCTAAATTTAAAATGGACAATTGCATAGAGTTTTACGGGACAGAATTTGGGATGTGCAAAGCTAGAGAGTTGGTTGGTTGACAATGACTATGTTGTCAATTAAACCAATTATTTTTATCTATTCCCGATATATTGGGGCACTGTGTCGGAGCAGTTCTGCACAACTGCACCGTTACGAAAAGATGCCTCTCCTTTCATTGATCCACATACTTCCCAATTCTTAAAAAAAGAACAAAAATAAAGGATGGCATTCTAATTTAGGTCAGTTGATAATACTTTTCCAGAATTGATTCCAATTCATTTTACTTGTAATTTTGAAGAGAAAAATTCTGAACAGATCGATTGCATCCAATTTTTTTTACTTGATGGATTTCTTTTTTTGAAAACTTTTTTTGAGACAATTTTTACAAAATTGCTGCAAATTTTTACAAAGTATGAATAAAAAATGGCTCTGTAAAAGAGGTCATGTCTATCTCTAAATGGTAATTCATAAAACTTCACTTCAATGCTCATTCACAATTTGATTTAATATTAACACAAATTTGTTTTCAGGATGAAGTTAATCAAGTGCTCACCACTAATTTGTGGCTTGAAATGGTATTTTTTTTTAAATTAATGTTAGTGTTGAGGTTGTGCAGATTTTGGGAAATTATTTCGGTCTTCCAAATCTTTTAATCTCGATTTCAAACAAATTATGATGGCAGCGTTATTCCTTTGCAGCAGTGGTATGATTACAAGCTAACATGGGATCCGGAAAAGTGGAATAATATTCGAAAACTTCATGTTCCATCTGATCAGATATGGATACCGGATATCCTGTTGTATAACAAGTAAAATATCTGAAATTTGAAATCACTTATCAGTAATAATGTATTGTCAATTAATGGCGGATATTACTAGCTCTTCTGCTATTATTTACGTGGATGAGATCGAATCTTACTTTCATTTCAGCGCAGATGGCGAACCGCACATAACGATTATGAGTGATGCTTTAGTCTACTACACCGGTGCAGTGGTTTGGAAACCACCGAGCATTTATAAATCATTTTGTCCCGTAGGCTTATGCCTATAATTATGCGATGATAATTTACCAGACTTACAAAATAATATCTCTTTTAGTATTTTTTAGTGTAATTTGTTTCTGACTCGTTCCACCCGCATCTTAGAACATTTCTGTAATGTTACTGCTTGTAGAATATTTATTTTAATATCCCTAATTCAACTGCTTCCAAATAACTATTGAGATTTCAATTTTCAAATTTCAATTCGTAGTTTTTTGATACTTTGACTACCAAAAACAAATTATTAAGATAGATATTGAATACTTCCCATACGATAAGCAATCATGCTCAATGAAATTTGGTGGTTGGTCTTACAACGGTTTCCAAATTGATGTTCGACAGTTGCCAGTAAATTTTGAATTTCAATAGATGAGGAAAATTGTTAAATATGATTCAGCAACTCGATCTGTCTTAGTATACTAGTAAAGTTCAGAGGATAGATAGCATTAAACTGTCGACCTTTAAAAGCATTAGAAAAGTTTTTACAAACGGTGAAAATGATAAACATAACCTGCAGTTTTTCTGACGAGTCTGTTTTTTGAAATACAAGTTTTTTCAAGACTAATCCTACGGACAATATCGAAACACAGTACGATGAAAATGGAAAAGAATATCAATTTTTGGAACAAGGGATGGATCTATCATCTTATTATCCGTAAGTTCTCTATTGCCAAGAACCATTTTTTTATGTGCTATTCAATCGTTTTTAAAGCTACTCAAATTTGGTTTTTTTTTTTTTTTTTTTTTTTTTTTTTTGTGAATATAATCTTATTTCAGGAGTCGTGAGTGGGATTTGATAAGTTTAACAAGTCGTCGACATGAACGCCTGTATCCTGGTTGTTGTGGGCAGGAATTCTATATCGATATTACTTTTAATTTATCGATCCGTCGTAAAACGCTTTTTTACACCGTCAACCTAGTCATTCCATGCATGCTGATAGGTGAATTTGCTTCAGTTTGATTCTGTAACAGTCTATAAGTTTTTAATATTGGAGACTGTAGAGAGAACGAGAATTTTTCTTTTTTAGGAAGAATAAAGTTAAGGTATGAAATATCAGAATAGTATGTTCTTCATACTAATTCATTTTGTTTCAGCAATCTTGACAACTTTCGTTTTCTATATTCCGGGTATTGAACACAAAGTTTCATTTTCGATAGCAGTGCTAGTTACTTTGACTGTGTTCTACTTGGTTCTTATTGATCTCATTCCTCCAACATCAATGGTAATACCAATGATTGGAAAGTATCTTTTATTTACCATGTTTCTCGTCTCCGCATCAATCCTCTTATCCGTACTCACTGTAAGCTACTATCGACGGTATGTTATTTATCTATTAGAAATCTAATGATTCCAAAAATTATGTCCTTGTTGTAAATTTTGTTTTGTTTTGGGAGAGCTCCAATTAGATATCTCGAACATTTATTGAAGATTTATTCGTTAGCAGAGGTTTCTTCTTGAACGTTATAAAATAATTATGAGTGATTTATCAGTAATAGTTATTTTTTCCTTTTCGTTGATCTAAGAGGGATCTGCTTAAATGTAGGTGGTGATAGTATAGGATAACACCAAAATATTTGGAGACAAATTTGATTTGGCAAGCAAAATCAGGCAGAAGCAGTGCTGAAGTCGAAAAAAGACGAATGAGTGTGCAAAAGTATCCGAGTCGTAGTTTTGTTAATTGTTCCGCACAATAGGCTTAAACCTTATGTATTTACCACAAAGCATTACTATAGTGAGTAAAAGCTGATGAATAACGAAGGAGCTTAGTTAAACAAAGAATTTACAACCTTTTGAACAATCGAATGTAAGTTTAGCTGTCAGGCTGAAAGATTCTAACAATAAAATTGGGAGAAATTATCAACACCTTGCACTGAGTATACTAATAAACTGTAACATTCTAGCCAGTGTGGATAAACTGAACTACGTTGGATGAATTTTATTTGAGATATAAAATAAAAAATTTTACATTTGTCTTAGAATATTCAAACAAGACAATCTTTAATCTTATGGATTCAATACAAAATTATTTCGTCATATTATAATTCGATTTTTCTGATATCGCTTTCTTCTGCAATTCATAGCTTAGAAGAAATAACATAAATTTTTGAAATAACTTCTATTCTTTCTTAATATATCTAAAAATGGATAGAGAAGCGGTCAGTTAAGCGTGCACTATTCATTTTTATCCTTTAAGAGTAGTGAAGTAAATTCAAATGAGAAATACTAGAACTAGAATAAGCTTAACGAGCTTTCTATTTTAAACCCAGAATTTCCCACTTCAACTATGATCATCTTGGCATTATTTCATGCTCACCATAGTTGATAGTATTACTGATCAAAAACAATTTCTTTTCACCAAAAATAAAATTAACTTTTCATGCAAAATATCCTTTTATTTGTATTCTGCCATTGTGAATAGTTTTCCTTATATTCCTCTTCAAATCTGTATTTGGCTTACCTTACTCATTATAGCAATTAGTCTTAACTATTAATCAACTATGCCAAGCGAATTTTAAGTCTATAAAGATGACCAACAAGAACGTAAAATATATAAAACCTACTTCAAATAACATTCATAACCAATCTTCACCTTTGTAGGTTTAACTTCTTTAAAAGATGTTGGCAACCATTTACTTATATGTGTCCTTATGTTAAGTTATGCTAATAGTATATTTGATCACAGTAAGTTCTTTTACTTAACATTTATACTTGAAAGAGCTCATTTAAAAACCTAAATTCGTTTCTTGCAGAGCTGGTACCACTCATCCTATGCCGAAATGGATGCGTCACATATTTTTGAAAACATTACCCAAGTATTTGTTCATCAAGCCACCGGAAGATGATGCTTCTGAGGAAAGCAGCAATAGATCATCAGGTGAACTAGATTTCTTAAGAATTTTTGGATTCTTTCGACTTAAGCCAATTAAATACAAATGAAGAACCGTTGAAATATTTAAACTGAGTTTCCAAGTTTCGAAAATAAGCTATGTACAAAATAATATTTATTATCATTATAATGTCTATACTACCAATTTTTTGCAATCTCTCGAAGAAAAAAATACATTTTCAGACCTTGCAATAACATATCTCCCTTATGCTGTAATAAATTTTTGTCTTTTCTAACTGAAGAGATTTATCAGAAATTTAGATTTGCATTTTAGATTTATTGTCATCTTCAACATCTCGTCGAACAAGTCCCTATTTCTTATCGATCAGTAATCTAATCGACGGCCAAATGCGATTGTCTCAGCTGGCGCAGCTTCGTGGGATGCATCCTGATTTAATTCGACGCATGATCGATAATGTATCTTTTATTGCTGATCATTTCCGGGCTATGAAAAAAGATGATCAGGTGTGTTTTGTTTCTTTTATATATCCAACATTGGCCTTAATTCTAATTATGACCTACACATTTTTCGTTTGCATTTCTCTTTTCTCGATGATTAAAAAACTCCTTAATATGCTAAAAATGCAGGTATCTGAGGACTGGTGCTACATATCAATGGTGCTAGATCGACTGATGCTGATGATTTTCAGTGTGATCAACGTATGTGGTACCCTTATTATCCTTCTTCAATCACCAGTACTTTATGATAGTCGACCACCGATGACTATCAATCCAGCTATTAAACCACTGAGTGGTGATACACTCGAATTATTCGTCAATAGCTCACATGTACAGTAATTTTTTGAATAAAACCCATGAGCTGCAAGAATCTTCGTGACAGGAAATACTTACTACTTACTTATACCTGTACTAAAACATTATAGTAGCTTCGGTTGCTGTTTCTTCACTGTTTAGAACGGTTACCATGACAATAGCAAAATCAGATTTGCACGCATTAGTTAAATTATGCAAATACATCTAATTTATCGACTACGAGATTATTTGTTTAAATTGCTTACCTTTTCGTTAATGGACGAATGTTTGATTCTGATTAGACATTCTTTTATAGCTATGCAATCCGCTGCGGGAAAAACGATTTTTTGGACGATTTTCTCATCTTTGTTTGTTGATGTTCATTGCAAAAATAAAATTTAATTTGAAGTTCACTTTCGATAGATATTAAAACTAAGCGAAATAGAGTAGAGCAGTGCAACTACTGCGAATGGGACTGAGGAAATTTACTTCTTTAGTTACAAAAAGAGAACATATTCGATCAGGAGAATGATTTCACATCACTTCCTTAATTAATTACGATTTCATTCATGTAAAACAATTGGAAAGAAGACCTGTTCAATTTTGATTTGTTAAATATTTTTTCATTGTCTTTTGTAAGACACATTCTTCCTCCTCCATCTTTCATTATCTTATGATAAGGTTTATAAGACTCGAAGTTACTACGAAAGTTACATATTTATAGGATTGTGTCCAAAGTCATATGACATCAGTTATGAGCTAATAAGGTATACAGAAACTTTGCTAATGACAGCGCAATGGTTGGGCATAATAAATAATTAGATAATATGACCCGCAGAAAAAGTTGACAGATTAGTTTCTGTTTCTCACTCTCATTCATCTGATGGACATCTACATTCCCTCACTCGTAATGACCCTTGCAAAGTATTTGCTGGCTGCGTTAAATAATAATGCTCCCTGCGTTAAAAATAAGATCCTTTTCTCCGTCTCAGTTAGTCAGACTGGGCTGTGGTGGCTAGGAGGTCTTACAGTGTTGACAAGTAGGACGGTCCTAGTTAAGTGTTTTCAGTAGATGATATCTGATATAAACGTTACAATGTTTTTCCACCGAATTTTCGTCGGAATTTCTTGTTTGTTATTTATGTCCAAAATGCATAAATAGATATAGCATTTCCCTCATTAAAACAGAATACTAATATATAAATACATAAGTAATAAATGTAACAAAATATAACTTATACATAAATAATAGATATAACGCTTCCTTTAACAAAACGCAATATTAAAAGACGGCACAGCCATTAAAGTAATGTATAGTCTGGGATGGCGTGCAAGTGAATACCGGAACAGGAATGTGTTAACTGTCTGAATATTGAAACAATTTCAGACATCCCTTTGTTTGGTTTACTGTGTATATCGATGGTTTGTTCTTAGCATTAACCACTGATCTGTGTTTGGTGACTAAGCTAATGTTGTTTATATTTATATAAAACTTGAAATATGAGGGAGATTTGTGGGTCTGTAAAAATACAAAATAGGTATACAGCAAAAAGTGGAAAAGTGAGTAGTTATTTAGTGTTCGTTAACAAGATTTTTCTTCTGGAAAAAAGAGTGAATATTATTTTTGAACATTTTAGCCATCAACTAAACATTCTTTATATTACAGTTTAATGCTACTGAAATTGCTTTCCAGATTTAGTGTTCAACATGAAAAGAGTGAATGGTATCGTTGCGTTGTTTTGTGTTTGCACATATGTTTGTATGGGTTTCTATTTGCCTGGCTTGGCACCAGTCAATTTTTGTGAAAAGGAAGTTGCGAAACCGTCGTGTCCAGTACGGTTTTTGCTTTCTGGATTGTAATTGAAAAATCTTCGAAAATGTCTTGTATGGTTCACTCTCATATTTTGAATGTGTTATAAATTTCACCATCAATTTTCTTTTTTTTAGCTAAAATGTAATATCGCAATTCTAGTCTCAGCATAGATCAGATTAGCAGTATTGCGCTCTCTACTTAAGATCTGGTGCAACAAATCCATTTCATTGCTGATATTATTATGTAACTCTACCGCCTACAATACACTCTCTTTATCTGCTCTGGATAGGAATTTTGAAATATTTCATATTTAGCGACAAAAATAATACAACTTCGACTGATCATAAGAAATACAACTGGTTTTTAGAGTAATATAACTCTGTACGTAAATCGTTTGGATAGCGACCAAAGCGTTATTCCATTTGAATACCACAGGTAAATTCTTTCATCTTTTATAACCACGAATACGTTGTTTTTAAATTAATGTACAAGAGCAATATGCAAAAAGCTTTTGTATTAACTTTTGGTGTATTTCAGTTTCGATTTCTGTATTGGCAGTGAAAATGAGTCGCCAGTAGAGAATCTTGGCCAAGTATTATTTGGGGAACGAATTAGGCCTAGCCCATATAAAGTATGAAACTGCTTAAATATAGCTGTATTTCATTATTTTCATACTTCTTTGAGTGGAATTCTTTGCTTATTTCTCTATGCCAAAATAGTTGATGGTTTCCATTCATCGAAAGCATGCATAAAACTTTGCTCACGAAATAAGATATGGCATATTTCTGTATGGTAAAACTGTATAGTACCAAGGAATGTTATGTATTAGCGAAATTATTCTGAATAAGTTTTGTTTCTCGCTTTGCAATTTTTAGCTAAATTTCAATGAACAAAGGCAATGTAAGCTGTTATGTGAAAAGAAATACAACAATGATCCACTTGCGCAGAAAAAAATGTGGTTGCTTCGGAAAGGAATGAAATTAAATTACCAGCATCACTGGTATTTTTTTTTAAATTGCTTTTAGCATTTTTACGAAATTTAGTAACACTTCATTTAATGAACTCACACATGAGTGACATGTATGATTGCGGCATATAATGTACTTGTGGCAAGAAATAACTATTTTTTATTTTTTCTTTTGGGAATGAACCCTGCGGAAAATAAGATTGAACTATTAAAAAGACTAGTGGAGGTCTTCAAGACCTTACAGATTTATATCGTATGTGGTAATTTACCGCATAGAGCTAGAATGAAACGAGTGATTGGATTTTTGATTATTCCTACATATACAAATCTATTTTAGGATATTAGACAATATGCCGGTGACATTCTGCTTCATCAACCAACAAAACCAAAATGTCTGTACAACAGGTTTTCCAATGGGTTGTTACGTAACTAGTGATGGTAAGCCGAAAGATGCATGTGTTCTAGATTCACGTTACAGACAACCTGATAGCTACTACATTTTCAATCACGTCGATATTCTCATCGAGTATCGCAACATGAGTCAGGATCCGAACTTTTTGGAGGAACATGTGGGAGGTCGAATTATTCGCATCAAAGTGCAGCCACGAAGCATCAAACATGAAGCAAACGACAAGCTTGACTGTGGAGTCACTGCAAAGCCGTTTCCTATAAAGTCTAATGAAAAACCTGATAGCATTATCTACACATACTCTGTTGTATGGCAGGTTTGATTTTTTAAGTATTTCTCATAAAAATTGGATGAATTCTCTGTACGTCGAAAAACAACTATTTTTGATGTTATTTTTTCTTTTAAATCGAAGTCCTAATATAGTTGTGATTTTTACGATTTTATAATTCCATAAGATTTTAAAATTTCCGTTACCAAGGTAGCGTTTCGATAATCTCTTATGACAAAAAATTACAGACGACTCAGGTGAAATGGTCATCACGATGGGATTATATTCTAGATTCAGTTCCACATTCCAATATTCAATGGTTCTCGATCTTGAATTCACTTGTTATCGTTTTGTTCCTTTCTGGAATGGTAGTTCTTTCCTTAGATTAGTTTTTTGTTTCACGCAAAAAAATTGCATTTCGTCTAGGTCCAGGATTGGGTGGTGTTCATTTTTTTTTTTTTTTTTTGCCATTTGAAGGTATTGAGTGAGGTACTGTTCATTCTTCTGCTTAATGCACTTAAACTAAAAAGCCGTTTGTACTGGAATAATAATATCAGTATCTTAGGTTGGCATGATTCTTCTTCGGACGCTACATCGCGACATCATTCGATATAATCAGCTTGATAATGAGGTTAGCTTTGTTTCTCACAACATAATTTTAGAAGTTCTTTTTTTTAAAGGGAACTCTCTCGAATAGGGCAAGTTGCAGAAAGCACTAAACTGTTTAAGGCCTCATTTTTTCCCTGAAAATTTCCATAAATTTTGTATTTTGAAATTAGAAAATTTGAGGAAGATGCCCAAGAAGAATTTGGTTGGAAACTGGTCCATGGTGATGTCTTCCGTCCACCGCGATATGCCATGTTTCTTTCTGTATTTGTGGGCAGTGGATGTCAAGTGCTCTTTATGGTTGCGGTCACTCTTGGTATACTTATCATGTTGTCTGGTTTCTAAAGCCTTGAGAAATGTTCGATGTTTTTCAGAATTTTTATATCAACCTATAGCTGATTATTATTAATGAGCTGGTATATGACTTATGACTTTGATGAAAAGATATCTTAAATTCTAGAAAAATGTCTAACGAGTATCAACAAAATCACGAATTTAGAATGTTTCCATTGATTTTTGAAATTGGTTATTCAAACCTTCCATCAAGCAGGCAATGCATTTGAATAAAAGATCCAGAAAAGGACTACCATTTTAAGTATGTGTTTTCGTTCTATAGTATTTGCTTGTCTTGGTTTCCTGTCACCGGCAAATCGTGGATCTCTGATGACCTTCGCACTCGTTCTTTACGTTGTTTTTGGTATCGTTGCTGGTTACGTGTCTGCAAGACTTTACAAAAGTAAGAATTTTTGAAATAATTGATTGTAATTGTTTGATTTATTATTGAAATGAAGATACTGTTATGATTTAATTAATTGGGACATCACGTTTATATCATTTTCTTAAATCTGTTTTCAAGTTTTCAAGCTGGAGCTACACAGTGTTGTATTCGTGCATATTTTCGTGGAACTTCAAGAACAAATCATAGTGACAGTCGAAATACGTATTTAAACCATATACTCGTCTAAATTTCAGAAAATGTAATAAGCATTTCAATTTTCAGCAATGAATGGCTTGGCATGGAAAACTAATGTATTGATGACCAGCTTCCTTGTTCCTGGGTATGTTCACTTTTTCGTTCTTTTTTTTAAACAGCACGAAAATTTGATAATTTTACCAAGTGGAAATGGGAACCACCAAGTTTTGCTTTTCGTGAAGATAGTTTAATAAAAATTTTTTCAGACGATGTAATGGAACTTTTTGTGAAAGATACTTTATTGCAGAATCGTGTTTGCAGTATTCTTCGTTTCGAACTTGTTGTTGTGGGCAAAAGGCTCATCGGCGGCAGTGCCATTTGGCACACTTGTTGTGCTTCTAATCCTCTGGCTTTTTGTCTCTATTCCGCTAACATTTATTGGATCCTATTTTGGCTTCAAGAAACGTGTAAGGAAATTTGGTAATTTTCTACTTAGATCACTGTTCTGCTCTTTAAGAGCACTGATAAGATATGAGGGCAGCAATTCTTGCATTAATGGTTATGATCTATAAATCGTATATGATATGAGACAATACTGTCACAGTTGGACTTCTAATATGTTAAGGTATTCGGATTATATTTCTGTGTGCTTGATTTTAAACATTTGGCAGTCTTTCAAGCGCTAAAATAAATTATAATTCTACTTAACGCGATATATGTCTTGGCATTCTACCAATTCTAGAAAAAATGGGTCAAAAAACTTCCTTCATATTAGCTGAAAAGGTCATCTATTTATTTGCTGTTTCCCTTGCAGCCAATTGAGCATCCAGTACGCACAAATCAAATCCCGCGACAAGTACCAGACCAATCACTTTACACGAAACCAATCGCAGGAATGTTTATGGGTGGTATCCTTCCGTTTGGGTGTATTTTCATTCAACTTTTCTTTATTCTCAATAGCATTTGGTGAGTTTTTAACTCGTAGATTTTTTTTTACACCAAAATTAGCAGTTCACTTGACTTTAACTTGTGAAATTGGCAATGTCTGAAGGCATATTTGGATTACATTCACGAAATATTTCTTTAAAAAAATCTTGCTCATAGAAATAAATAGATTTAGAAGCTGATTTTGCTTGTTTTCTTTTCATTCCTTACATACAGTTTTATTTTTTTTTTCTGGTTAATTTTTATCCCAAACATATCAAATGCATGCGTTATCTTGTTATAGGGCCCATCAAACGTATTACATGTTTGGTTTTCTGTTTCTTGTGTTCTTGATTCTGTTTATAACATGCAGCGAAGCTACGGTACTGCTTTGCTACTTCCATTTATGTTCTGAGGTAAAAAACTGATTTATTTCAGTTCCCAAGTATTATTTATTATTATAAATTATTTTAAAAGATAAGATTCTTTCACTTCTGTATTCATAAGTTAAAAAACAGTTTCTCAGTGAACTGGGTAGAAAGTGGGAACTCAATTTCAAAATTAGATTTCTTCAGATTCAGCACGTAATTTTATTTTGATCAAAAAATCTGGAAACTCATTGCTGGCACTTTAGGAATGAAGATAAAAAAGTCTTGGTAATTGGATAAATATTTAATTAAAAATTACATTTTCTGAACTTTGCAGGATTATCATTGGTGGTGGCGGTCATTCTTGACTTCAGGTTTTACGGCAGTATATCTTTTTGTGTACTGCATCCACTACTTTATGGCAAAACTAACTATAACAGGCACTGTGTCAACTATCCTCTATTTCTCATATACTTTCATCATTGTCTTCATGTTCTTTTTGGCAACCGGTACTTTTTTACTTTGTCGGGAGATCGTTTTGATGGATGTAGTACTTTTATGTTGTGGGAAAAGATGCGTTGGATTTAAATCCTGTGCATTCTTTCTTTATCGTTTAAAAGATATAAGATGCTGCATGGGACTGAAAAAGTTCTATGAAGAAAACTTTCTTATTTCATTAATAATATATAATTTTAGGAGCAGTTGGTTTCTTGTCAGCGTTCTTTTTCGTGGAAAAGATATACGGTTCTGTGAAAGTGGATTGATGTTCATGTACGAGCGTAAAAAAGGATTTCTGCTGCGATGCAAGGGATCTTGGAAATAAGATTTTTTTCCTGGGTTTTTTAATTTTTTGCAAAATGTAAATCATCAGAAGTGGCTTGTAATCAAGTGGTAATGAAATTGATTTTAACTGTAGATTCCATGAAGTTAATATCTTTCTCTTGTTTTTCACTTTAATAAAAGCGGGAAATTCAAACTGAATGTGTTGAGGTTTGTAGTCTGGAGACTTTCTGATTATTTCCAGTTATTGTCTTTTAAGAAGCTGAATTAGACAAAATATTTGGTATTCTTTGTAACTTCATGAAAAGACAATTCTAATGCTTTTTTTGTTTTGTTTTGTTTTATTTTTTTCTGGTGAATTTTGTACTGCACCGTCTGTACTATTTCGATGCAGAATATGGACTTCTGTTTTTGTGACGTGGAGTAGGCATCTATTTTTATAATGCATGCAGTGGGAAAACTGCAAAGAAAGAATTTTTTAGAAATTCTGAAATGGATATTTTTATATATTCTATTCTATTTTTTTCTGCCAAAAATAAGACGTGCCATTGGATTCATATGATAAGACAAGTTTAATCTTTTTTTCTCGTCGAAATCTGAAATTCATGGTGAAATTATAGTCTGAATATTTTTTTTTTTTTTTTTTTTACAAAATATATACTTTTAAAGACTATTTCATCTATTTAGAGTTTTAAGTTTTCAAGAGGACTTGCTAAATTTAGAATAGATTGGAAATTTTCTAAATTTAGGATACTTGTACTGCAGTGTCTTAGTTGTTTTTCTCGGTCTTTTTGTTAAGGAGTGAATGAGAGCTTCCATTTGTTTGAACATTCTTTGTTTCAGGGAGACCGAATTTTTGAAGAAAATTACATGATGTTCTTTTTTAAAGTATTTAAAGGTCGAAAGTACAAGCTGCATAGTCGATTCCTCCCTGTTTTGAATTGATGCACCTTGAAAGTAATTCTGCTGCTGTAAATTGCATCTATGTGTGGTTTATTCCGTTTTTATGTTTGTATATTTTCACAGCTTTAGCTATTTGGGCGAAATAGTATGTATGCATATCAATACCGCAATAACCCGTAATGATGAGTTCGGGAGAAAAGAAGAATAAGAATTTCATCAGTATGGGAAAATTGATGGATTTGATTTATTGGACTTCCTCCACGTTCTTTTATTTTTATTTTTCATGACTTTGACCAACGCCGGCGAAGTTATGCATGTCGAGGAATGTAATAGTTCTCGAACTACTGCGCAGTGCGGCATGTACGAGCGCCAGCCCTGATAATTATTTTTTGGATTTGAATTCTAATTCTGAGCGAAGGAAGAAGAAAATTATCTTATTTGCAGGTTGTCTGTAATGCTAACATTGTATGTCATGTTATTGTGATAAATATTTCATTTTTGCTAGCATTTGATGTATAACATTATCCGCAGAGCGATGGTAGCTCAGATTGTTAGTGGAACCGTGTGTTGAGTAGCTTCATGCCCTGTTTACCCTAAATTTATTTCATGCTTCTCAGTTATGCTATGAAATCGAAACATGCAAATATTTCGATCACTTGATATTCCAAATCAGAAGTTTTGGATATAATGGAGGCTGGGTAAGGGACTATGTAGCCTACAGCTTGATCATGCTGCTAACCGCAGATTCATTACTGCATCGCATCATTCTTTGCCAATTTCGTTTTGCTTTAATCTAAAAATGCACTTGAAGTGGAGGTGAATCGGCAGTTGGCTGCATGCACACACGACTCATTTTTTTCTGAGGATGTCTAATCTTATGGTTGGGTAGCGAAAAAGGATTAAGAATCTAAGATGGACTGAAAATCTTGCCGAGAAACTAAGGGACAGCATATATAAGCGAATTTATAAGGATGTGAGTGTATGGTTTAGAAGTATATGCATGAACTATAAGTTCATCCCATTTGCTGAGAAATTGGAATATTTTTGAATTAAAGGATCAGAACAAAAAAATCCTCAAAAATTGAACTTCTTTAGTACAAATTAAACAAACCTTATTGAGGGAATTCATTATTGAAACCGTTTGTAAGGATGCATGTATTGTAAAAGTTTGTGGTGCTGATGAGATGGTTGAACCTGTCATCCATCTAATGGATGTAATATGCAAAGTACATAGACGACAGACTCGGAATCATTGTTATTGCTATCGAAAGATAATTTTGCAAAATGATCATTGATTAATTCTAGATTTAAGATTTTAAGATCGGATTAAAAATTTTATCAGATAATTAGTACATACATATTTAGACTGTAAATCAATATTGCTCTTTTTTTTCCCTTTCTATTCTTAGTTCTAAATTCATGAAAAAATTTACGCACAATATTTCTGTCGAAATTTTAGTTAAAAATGGCTAAATAATATTGAAATTTTTGGAATGAGTTAATATTAGATTTTAAACACATTATGCCCTGAAATATCTCGAGAATGATAAGGAAGAGTATGTGTTGTAGAAAAAGTAATTTGGAAAACATACATTCGCGTATGCTTGTCGGAAATACTTTTTTACATGACGTTGTCCTGGTGTCGTATAAGCGTAATAATTATCCTTATAAAATTTTCTTAGCATTGAAAACCGATAAATTGTTTTCGGTGCAAAACGATCATTGATTAATTCTAATTGTAATGCAATTTGATGAGAGCAAATTATAGTGTCTTATTGAATGTATTCCTACGCGTCTGTATTTGTTTACATAGTAATACGAAATCCTTATCAAGTATCATTTGCTTGCTGACTGATAAGGCTATCCAACATACCAAAAGAGAAAGAAGAGAAAAACGTTTGTTATATTTGTTCATGAAATATGGTAACGTTTTGGCAGTAAATTCTTTAAAAGCCAAGCAACAAAATTTTCACGGAAATGTTAATTAGAATTAACCTTTAAGTGGACATTCCGAAATGATTACTTTTCATGAAGGTATAATAATGGAAACAATATATGCAAGCATTATTGCTTTTGTCAATACATTATAGAAATCGACCGATTTTTAGGGTTTTTCACCAGATACTTTTCCATAAATACAAAAGAGTCATTTGTTTAAAAAAGAAAAAAAAAAAAACGAAATTTCAAAGATGTATATTTCAGATAATCTCCTCTTCTATTACTTTAGTACAGTTAGAGTTAGTTATCGGTTATCTATGTCTCTCAATAGTAAAATCCTGAAGGTTGACAGTTGTTGCATCACCGAATGTTGTGATGATTTCATCAGAGAATAAACATTTACCTAAGGAAGAGTCAAAAAGTACTGTATTGTTAAATATGTCGACAACATTATTTAGATCTTTATGAAGAAATTACTTTAAAAAAATAGAAATCTGGTCTTTTTGGACCATTTTTATATAGAAATACAAACATCGAAGTGCAAAAAAGTGTGCATGCATGCAACTGATACTGTTAGTATTATTATATTGCCTCTCTACTAGCACAATAAATATTGTTGACCTTGCATATCATTCTTGGCTTTTTTCCACTTCATTCTGCGCAGTTATCTAAGCGTTTTTGGCCGTTCTGATTTGATTCTGAGATTCGTATGAAGACAGGTAGCTAAGTTCAAACTAAGTCTGTTTCATAAATCCGCAATCAGTACCAGGTAATTTTAGATAAAGCTAGATTGAAAACTCTCTATCTTAATAAGAAATATTGATGTATCAATTGATCAAATGGTAAGTGAGCACTGAATTCGAAATCTGTTGCAGACGCTATTCATAATATTGTGTTCAGTGATCAAAACAAATAGAAAAACACAAACATACCTTGCTGGTTTCTTAAAAAGTTGGTAAGAAATTTAGTTTTATAGAGATGAAATAAATTTTAAAAAGGACGAAAGGGAAAGCAACAGGGTGAGAACTGCTCGAATGTGATAAAACGATTCGGGAATGGAAGAGATAACGACTTTATCAGTGGTGATATGCAATGGTTGATGGGGAAGACGATAGATATCTTTTGTGGTTAATGGTGATCACTTCAGTACTGCTGATAGGTTACCATTAGCAAAATAATCTACAAATACAAATGCATACGCTAACCAATTACATATAGATTTGACAAGGATGACTCAAAGTGATTGATGGGATCATTCAACTAAAAAACAAATGTTACTCTAATCATAAAATGCTAACAATGGATGACCTTTTTGGAACTTTAATTTGATATGGAACTTTTCTTATGAATGTGAAAATTCTAAACGTTCGAATTTTATTATTTTGAAAACATTTGACCAAGCCAATTGTTGACAATTCGAAAATAGCATGCATTTGTTAATTATCAAACTAAAAGCAATCTTAAATAAATTGGTTGATCAATAAGTTACAAGAATAAAGCAATAGAAAAGGATGGACAAGATATTAAATGCTTAATAAGTAAAATATGATTTTGATATTCACAGTTTCAAATTGCTCTCAAATTTGTTTTTTCTTTCGCTCCAAATAAAAGTTTCATCAGTCGTACTTCGATGGCTCACGAAATGAGAGCATTCATCTATTGGTTACGGTAGCAAAGTCATCAAATCAAACTTCCTTCTCCTTCTATCCTACCCCTCTCCTTCATTTGTCGTTTTCACTGCTAGTTGTCACCATCATTTTGTCAGAGTCAATCTATCGGAAGCACCTAACTAAAATTACTGTTTACTTTTTCTTTCCTCAATTATTTTTGCTGTTACTTAATTACTTGAAATTTCATAATTTTTGTGATTTTCCTTTCAAATCTAATTTTATATTATTCGTTTCTTAAGATTTTGTCATCTATGTGGAAGAAGTAAATTGCTGGAAAAATGTTGGAAATGAAACTTTTTGCACTAATAGTGAAATCAAAACAACTATTAAACATATAATCTCAATACCTGATAAATAGTTTTTGCTAGCAACGGAGTCATAAATTATCATTTACTGGTTTATTTAGTTATGTTGGTAAATTGATAAGATAAGACAACGGTTTCTTCTTTTGAGAGTTCGGTGTTCATGAATAA